TGATAGGGTGGGGTGGGGGTGAAAGAGAAATCTTTACATCTCTGGAACTGAGGGGATTCTGACTTCTCTAAGTTTCCAGAGGGTGGTAGGGAGTTCCCTGACATGTGGTTTAGCTTGGCCTAGCCTACCAAGGAGCCAGGCACTAGGTAGGACCAAAACCTTGCAGCTGCAAGGAGGAGTCCTCCCCTTCCCCTCTCCGCAAGTCACAGCATGCCTTCTGACCAGCTTTTTGTTCCAGAGGGCTGCAGGGGGGCCATGGCCTGATTTCAGGGTGGACAGGCAGGGGATGGAGAGAGGGAGGAGAGAGGAACAGAGAGAAAGGGAGAGAGGGAGAGAGAGAGAGAGAGGATGAACTAGGTATGGGACCTAGTACCTTCTAGCTCTAAAACGCAAGGTATACGTTTATTTATCTATGAATCATCTGTTTATCAGTGGCTATTTATTTGGCACTTAACTCTGTCCTGAAATAATGTTAATAGGGAAGTGGGCTGCTTTTAATGAAATATGTGACATGGAGCTAATTTTGAATTTCAAATGGCTAAGAACTCTTTTTAGTGCAGGTATGCCCCATGTGGAGTGTGGGACAGATGCTTGGAACAGTTGCTAAATCTGGCATTTATACCTATTCGCAATCAATTCTGCAAATTCTGTAGCCATATGACAGAAAGACAGAATAGACTTAATATCACTCTGGATTTCTTTACAATAATGCCTGCTTCATTTTGGGGGGGGGTTATAGACTGAATATTGTATTTTTATTACATTTAAATTTATTCAGTGTGTGTATGTGGAGGACAACTTGAGGGAGTCGGTTCTCTACCTCCAGTATGTGGGTCCTGGGAATCAAACTCAGGTATTTAGTCTTGGTGGAGGGCACCTTTACTCACTGAGCCATCTCACAGGCCTTATTGGATTTTATTTATTTATTTATTTTGGTTTTTCGAGACAGGGTTTCTCTGTGTAGCTTTGCACCTTTCCTGGATCTCGCTCTGTAGACCAAGCTGGCCTCGAACTCACAGAGATCCGCCTGGCTCTGCCTCCCAAGTGCTGGGATTAAAGGCGTGTGCCACCACTGCCCGCCTGGATTTTTTTTTTAAAAAGAGATAACAACCCTTTATTTTTACCAGGGTGATTTTATAACCCTCAGCATTTTACTAATGAAAAGCCAGTAAATATGGGGAAAAAAGCAAAAAATAAATTGTAATAATTTACTCATTCTATTTATTTGTTGTCTGGGTCAGGGTCTCAGGTAGCCCAGGCTGACTTTGAACTGCCATGTAGCTGAGAATGACCTTGAACTCTTAGTATTCCTGCCACATATCCCAAGTGCTAGGATTATAAACATGAACTACCACATCCTACTGGATTCTATACTTAATAATCTAGTGGTTTTTGTTTTTTGTTTTCCTTCGAGACAGGGTTTCTCTGTGTTGTTTTGGAGCCTTTCCTGGAACTCACTCTGTAGACCAAGCTGGCCTCGAACTCACAGAGATCTGCCTGGCTCTGCCTCCCAAGTGCTGGGATTAAAGGTGTGCGCCACCATTGGCGGGCCAATAATCTAGTTTTAAAAATTATTTTTTTGCCGGGTGGTGATGAAACACTCCTTCAATCCCAGCATTTGGGAGGCAGAGGCAGGCAGATCTGAGTTTCAGGACAGTCAGAGCTACACAGAAAAACCCTATCTCGAAAAACAAAACAAATAATAATAATAATAATAATAATAATAATAATAATAATAATTATTATTATTATTATTATAATAAAAATCTTCATTTTGGCCTCCAGGTTTGTAAGAGAACCAGGGAGCGTTTCAAGCCAGTTTGGGACTGCTTCAATGTCTGGTGTTTGGAAATCTCAGTCGAATGGTTTGCACGGTCTCCTAACTTTTTGCATTAGTTGCTGGGAGCTCAGTGTTAAACTGGAACTCAGCTGCCACAATTGTGCCCTCCCCTGCTTCCCTCCAGCCCTTTAACCATTTTAAGTAATAGATTTTCACCGTGACCTTGAGAACTTCGGAAAGCATATAAAGTGTTTTTAAAAAGTGGGCATGTCCGTGCACACCTGGAATCCCAGCACTTGGGAAGCTGAGATAAGAAGTTTGTGTTGAGTTTGAGGCCAGGCAGACCTGTGTAGCAAGCACTTCAACACCTCCCGTCCCCCTAAAAAAGGTTGACTACAGCAAGACCTTAATAGATTGCGTTGTTGACAGAGCCGATGGTAAGGAATATTGATTGGGATCTGATTAGTTTGCTTTTTGACGACAAGTTTCAGACTAAACACCTATTTCAATGGTAGGATGTTGGAGCTCAAAAGGAGAGCTCATTTCTAGCCCAGTTCTGGACTTTCTACATTGGGCTTTCTAGGAACAAGATCTATGAATCCTGGGTTCCACGATTAGGCTCCACGGATCCAGATGTTCTCTGACTTGTACCAAAGGACAGCGTATTGTTGTATTGTGGGTCAGCTGGGCCAGGAGAGTGAAGTGATTGTCATGTGGATTCCCGACAGGCGTGATGAAGGCACAGTACTCGGTCTTAACCCATGAACTGACTCGGTGGGGACAGGAAGGGCAAGACAGGGGTTGGCTAGTTGGCAGCTATTCACCCTGGGTAGCAGGAAATGGATGCTGAGTATGGGTAAACCAGAGATCTAAGATTTGCCTCGAACACTAGCAACATTCCCCTTCCAGCTGTTGTAGAATTTCACAGTTCACCGAGCACGTCACCCATTATTGTCTCAACTCTAACAGTGAAGAGTTATAACGAGGTGATGTTGTCTTAGGTCAATGTCTTTACACATAAAAACAAAAGCACAGACACACAGAGGGAAAATCATAGGAGGAGACAGGAAATTAAAAACAAATGAAAAATGGAGACACTATGGCTATGTTTACTCAATAGGCCCCCAGACCTTAGCACAACTGATGCCATGTTAGAGGTACCATTCTCACCTCAAAACCTGGGATGTAGGCCCCAAACCTGCAAAAATGAGAACAAAGACCTAATCCATCAAGACCTGGTCCATAGTTTCAGGATCCAGGAAAGCCCCTAAATGTACTAACCTTGGTTTTTGGCTTCTGTAGTTCTGCTTCTGGCTAACTGTTCTTGTTAACTGAAGTGTGCCAACGGGGATGTGGTTTGTGCATAAAAGGCAAAGAGCTATGAGGATCCAGGCTGCATGATCTAGGCAAGTTCCCCATATAGCTGCCTCTCTCTCTCTCTCTCTCTCTCTCTCTCTCTCTCTCTCTCTAAAAAATTTATTTATTTATTATATATACAGTGTTCTGTCTGCATGTATGCCTGCAGGCCAGAAGAGGGAGCCAGATCTCATCACAGATGGTTGTGAGCCACCATGTGGTTGTTGGGAATTGAACTCAGGACCCCCGCAAGCACAGCCAGTGTGCTTAACCTCTGAGCCACCTCTCTTTTCAGTTTTTAGAGCGTTCTCTGGTGGACATACCTCAAAATATTCACAGTAGATTCGAATGCTTTCTCTATTAAGCCTTACTTAAATCATCAGCCTCTGTTATTAACAAAATGTTTCAAGTGACACACAATATATGATTATTGTGAGAAAATTAAAACAAATGCACAGAAATGTAGCTTCGAATGTTGGAATATGCATCCCACCCTACCTAACTTGTCGGTGGCTTGGAGGGATTTTTGGATTTCCCTGTAAAGGAATTTCTTTTCTTCTCCCTCCCACACCGTCTTCTTTCCCTATCAAAGAACACACCCACCACTGTGTCTTCTTTTCCTTAAATATCTGGCTGTTTTTCCCGACTGACTCTGCATCCAGAGATCTACCTCTTTGTAATGAGCTATGTTTGAAAACAGAATCATAGCAACCTTCACACATACACTTTATGACAGAAGATTATATTCAATCATTGTAGGGGCAGAAAACAATGCTGGTGCTCAGAAATGGGGACAACTAACTATGAAAGTATCTGAGAGATGCAAGGGTTTGGGGATCAGAGTAACAAACTAGCTGAACATAGCGTTGAGGAAATTGTGGACCAGTTCTGGTTTAGTTTTCTTATCTATGAAACGAGGATAACAGAGTCGGGTGTAGTGGTACACACCTTTAATCACAGTACTCCAGAGAAGGATCTGTCAGTTCTAGGCCAGTCAGGGATACAGGGTGAGATCCTGTCTTGAAAGAGAGAGAGAGAGAGAGAGAGAGAGAGAGAGAGAGAGAGAGAGAGAAAGAGAGAGAGAGAGAGAGAAGACATGGGGAGGGGACATGCCTTTAATCCCAGCAGAGCCTGGAGGATCTCTGTGAGTTCGAGGCTAACCTGGTCTACAAAATGAGATCCAGGACAGGCATCAAAAAACTACAACAGAGAAACTCTGTCTTAAAAACAAACAAACAAACAAACAAACAAACAAAAAACCTAAAAACAAACAAACAAAAAAAGAAAGGAAGAAAGAAAAGTAATAATAATCTTATGATGGTGCAGGTCTGTAGGAATTTCCAGACAAGGCTGGGATACAAGAGATCCTGACTACGCTTCATAGGTTGTAGTAAGGATTAATCGAGGTTCATCTTAATGATCCTCACACTGACTGATGAAGGCTCTAATGCAGGTTCCTGTTTGGTCCATGAGAGAGGAGATTCGGGCAGCGGCTGGGCCTTCAACTACAAGGACAACACTATTAGGAAGGGGTGTATCGGGAAAATCTTTATTAATCAGTCTGGCTGTCTGAGAGGTCCACGGGAGACACCAACTCACACTGAATGCTCAGCATCACTGGCCGCCTTTACTCCTGGCTAAACATTTCGAGAGCCGGAGACCTACAACTCCCAGGGTGCACCATACTTTGCCCCGCCCATAATGTCACACCTTCTCCAGTTCACCAACACCCCCCCCCCCATGGGCAGGCTTTCGGACTCAAACTACAAACCCCAGAAGGCCCTACGTTAAATGTGTTCGCACCCCCTCAGTTTATGACCGGGATCTGCGGCCGTATTGGCTGCTGGGAAATGTAGTTCGACGGTGGCCGAGCCACTCGCGGGCCAAGTTGGTCCGCCCCCAAGATGGGTGAACTCGCGCCGCTCTAAGTTTTAGTTCCTCTAACAGTCCGGCTAGCAGCGTAAACTGCCTAGGCAAAGTTGTGGAGACGCTCCTGGGCGAGGGCTCTTCTGCGAAGGTGCCTCGCTTTACGGGCCTCGCTAGGTAAGAAAGTGGGCTGGGAAGGAGGCAGCCGGCGTTGGCGGCGGACGAGACCAAATTGCGACTAGAGGTGGGAGCGGCGGGGAAGGAAGGATCCAAGTGGAACGCCAAGTAGGGCGGGGCGTCCCCTCTCATCAGGGGCCCGGGAGGTGTCCCAGAAAGAAAGTGAAGCCCAGGTCCCAGCAAAGAGGGACGTCTGTGGGGTGGGGTGCATTTGTGGCTTGTGGCTTTATTGGTGGGACCTCTCATCCGGTGGTCTCACCTCCCCGACTGGGGTGGTCGGTCAGCATACCAGGCCTTGGCAGTCAGGTTGATCACTCTGCTTGAGCACCAGACTTGAGAGTTTTACCTGCTGCTGGCTGGCTGGAGTGTGACATCCGTGAGATGGGATGTTTCGGGTGTTTTGTTTCAAGGGAGTATCAGCAGGGAAGAAAATCTTAAACCCTCTGAAGTTTAGCGTCTAGACCCTCCTTTGACGACCGACAGTGCTACCGGAGTATTTTCTGTGTTATAAGCATTATAAGGCATGCCATTTATATAAGGCCTGGACAGAACCCGGCCAGAGAATTTGGTGACCTGGCCCCTGCTTCTAGAGTATTGTAAAACTGGTCCAGCCTATAGGAAAATGGCTAGGGTAAATTAAATCACAGTACAAAATAACATGTATAGGATGGCCCTACTTTGTAATCAATATCTGTGTTTTCCAAGTATGTGGCAAGAAACATTCAGAACTCTGCTCTGAATTAACATGGTAATGTGTGGCAGTTCAACTCGACCTTTTACATCTTTGTATCCAGATTTGGTACAGTGATCATTGCCCCCTTCTCCTCTTTATTTTTCCAAGAGTCACTTTGGTGTTGCACTTTGGAAATCAGGCTCTAAGGCCACCTGCAGATTGATTAACAGAAATGCAGCGAGGATTAAATACAAGGGAAGAATTTAGTGTTTAGTCTCTGTGAGACTAATGTTCTTTTTCCTTCTTCCAGGTTGGAAACAGGCTATTTTAGCAAGTGTCACGCCATGGTATGTAGTTGGTTGGTCTATTCTGTCTCATCCATTATCTTTTCTAGTGTAAAATGTAGTAGTCTTTGTCCTTTCTAATGAAGTTAGGTTTCACTGTAAAACTTTCTTGGGATCTGCTAACTCTCTTTGACCAGGGAATGGGAAGGAGAAAAATACGCCAGCTGAAATACAATCGGTTTTGGATTTAGTTTGCTTTTTCATCAAGGTCACTATTTTAGCATATGTTGTGTGTGTGTGTGTGTGTGTGTGTGTGTGTGTGTGTGCTTTCATTTTAATTATAAAAGGAAACTCAGTTTGTCCTTTAGCTTTTTCTTATAGACAGACATTTCCTGTCTAACCATCTAGTCTCAAATAAATACACAGAGGCTTATATGAATTATAAATGCTCAGCCAATAGCTCAGGCTTATTACTAACTAGCTCTTACATTTTAAGTTAACCCATATTCCCTATTTATGATCTGCCACATGGCAGTACCTTTATTTGCATGGCACATTTATCTCCTGCTCCCTCTGCATCTGACTAGCAACTCCTGACTCCTCCCTTCTCCTTCCCATCATCCTTAGTTTGGTTGCCCTGCCTATACTTCCTGCCTGGCTACTGGCCAATCAGCATTTTGTTAAACCAATTTTAGTGACAAATCTTTATGGTGTGCAAGAGGATTATTCCACAGCATTTTCTAATACATTTCCTGGGACAAAAGCTTGTTAAATCAAAGTAGGAACATAGTGAACATAATTTTTATTTCAGTCTTTTTACCTTTCACAGCTTTTGCCAGCTTCCCAGTTAAAAGACGACATTCCTGCGTAAGCCTATTGGTGTTAAAATGTCCTTGCCACTCACAGAGGAGCAGAAGAAAAAGATTGAAGAGAATCGACAAAAGGCTCTGGCCCGTCGAGCTGAGAAATTATCAGAACAGCCTCAGAGCACAGCTTCCGGCCCCGCTGTTTCTGGCCCTTCCCAATCCCAGCAGGGTCCTTTCTTGAATCTTCCAGCGGGGCCTTCTAAGCCAGTGGGCCATGGTGTCCTTTTCAAGCAACAGAATCTCAACAATTCATTTCCTACTGATCAGAGACCTCACAATTCCAACCATGTTCAGCCCAGCACACCAGAGCCGGCAAAGGGGATATGGAAGATCCAAGAAGGGAGGTCCACAGCTTGCTCAAGCCCTGCCCCGAGTCCTCCAAACATCTGTAACCAGCAGCTTTTGGGTTATAAGTCAGATCAGGGTCATCCCCAGGCTTCACATCAGATCAAGTCGACGCCCATTGCTACCACACCCCAGGAGCCCTTGGCTAAAGCACACAGTGCCCAGGACACAGCGGCCTTCTCTGGACCATTTCCCAGAGATCTTGAGTTAGAGGCCAAGACAGTGAAGCCCTCCACCTCTGGCCAGGGTGGTTCGGACACCTTTTATGCCTTAGGGGGAAAAACACCTAGAACAGAAGGCAGACCCCCAAAGAAACTGCAAACCTCATCCCAAAAAACAAGCTGTCTGCAGGGGACGTGCACAAGGATGGGAGATCGTTTCCAGGTGAAGATTGGCTACAAAGAAGAGCTCATTGCCGTATTTAAGTCCCTGCCCAGCAGACGCTATGGTAATGAGGCTTTTTCTTTTTTCTATTTTTGGACTCTCTTCTAACAGTTTCTCATAAATATTAAGAGGGCACGTTGGCACATTACATTTTTCTATTTTAGCTAGCGTTTCCCTTTGTAATAGACACTGTCTCGAGCATCTGTCAAACTTAGCTAGTGCATGGTCATGGTGAGAACTTGCTTTGCTGAGGAGCCGGCTCCTCTGCCCGGTGTGGCATGTGTGTGGCAGCATTGAAGCCTAAAAACAGTAGTTTGAAATCCATAGATTTTTTTTTTTTTTTTTTCCCTTTCAGCTTTGAAAGTGATGAACTACCTCAGCGATGCTGAGTAAGGTGCTTGTGCTTGGGTTAGTTGACCCGATGGGAGAGCTGGGGTGTGCCTCGCTCTGCTGTTCCTCAGAACTACTGCCCATATCGGTGCCCAACTACATGGCAGTTCAGAGGAGTTCGGTTCTCGTCCTCACCGCCTCAGCCCACTTCGTTAAATGCCTTCCCTGGGCCTGAGCTGCTGACTACACGGAACGGAATTACCTGTGTGCTGTTTGTCTCATGTAGAGATTTCTTTAAACCTGGGAGAGCCTGCCAGTCAACCGCTTTGAATCTGGCCTCGATCTGTTCAGGAAGTAAACTCTCATAGAGTGTCAGAGAATAAATGAAGACGCAAAGTGATCAGCCTTCTGTTTATTTCAGATCCTGTTACAAAGACGTGGGACTTCAGCATGAGCGACTACAGCGCCTTGAGTAAGTGGGAAGTTAGCCGGGGCTGGCACCTAAGAGTTCTGTGGGAAGTTAGCTGGGCCTGGCACCTAAGGGTTCTGTGCAAAGTTAGCTGGGCCTGGCACCTAAGGGTTCTGTGGGAAGTTAGCCAGGGCTGGCACCTAAGGGTTCTGTGGGAAGTTAGCCGGGGCTGGCACCTAAGGGTTCTGTGCAAAGTTAGCTGGGGCTAGCACCTAAGGGTTCTGTGGGAAGTTAGCTGGGGCTGGCACCTAAGGGTTCTGTGAGAAGTTAGCCGGGGCTGGCACCTAAGGGTTCTGTGCAAAGTTAGCCGGGGCTAGCACCTAAGGGTTCTGTGCACTGGGTCTTCTCAGTCCTACGTTACATGATCTCTGTTATCCCTTATAACAACCACTTTACAAATGGGGAAATGAAGTCTCTAATGAGTCACTAACGCAGAGACACACAGCTAATTCGTTCTTCAACTGGAATTCAAACCAGGGTGCCTGCTCCCCCAGGGCTGCGCCAGCGCCAGCACCAGCGGTGACCGGCGACTGTGTCAGGCCTTGCTCCTGGGGAGAAGATTGTTTAGCCTCTGACACTGGTTAGTGAACCCCAAAGTGCAGGAGCTCAGGCAGGTCCATCGTGATGGGTCCGGTCACCGTCAGCCCTGGGTGCACCACTGTCTTCTTCTTTTGTTGTTGTTTTTTTTTTTTTTTTTGGTTTTTCAAGACAGGGTTTCTCTGTGTAGCTTTGCGCCTTTCCTGGAACTCGCTTTGGAGACCAGGCTGGCCTCGAACTCACAGAGATCCGCCTGGCTCTGCCTCCCGAGTGCTGGGATTAAAGGTGTGCGCCGGCAACACCACTGTCTTCTTAGCCTGTCTTACGCCAGTGTTTCTGTCCTGTTGTGGACTATTGGTTTAACCAGGCAAAGATGTGTTACGTTTGCTTGTGTTGCAGAGTATCTCTTTAACCGTGTGAAGGTGTGTGACATTTGTGTCTGCTGCCTTTGTTAACAATGTAAAGGTGTGTTGCATTTGTTTAACTATGTAAAGAGTGTTGCTGTTTCACCTTGCCCGCCTAAGGCACCTGAACGGCCAATAGCTGGGCAGAAGAGGGATGGGTGGGGCTGGCGGGCAGAGAAAAGTAGAGAATGAGAGAGAAGAGAGGCAAGAACAAGGGAGAAAGAGAGGGAGACCCCCAGGGTCAGAAGCCAGGCAGACATGGAGGAAGGAAAAAGAAAGATACACAGAAGGAAAGAAAGGTAAAAAGCCCTGGGATAAATCGGAGATGAAGAGAAACAGATTAAAACAAGAGCTAAGGCAATGCTGAGCCTTCATAATAGTAAGTCTTCGTGTCATGATTTGGGAGCCCTAAGCTACACTGTCCCCTTGCCCTGCTGCCTCAGTCACAGAAGTCGCTGGGACTCTTCTTGTCCCCCATTCTCTCCTCATTCTCAGCACCCGTTCTCCTCGGCCCATCGCAGAAGCTGAGGACGCATGCTCAGATCAGTTCTCTGAGGAGCTGGCCTGTGAGGTAGAATGCTTGGGCTTCACCAGGACATTTTCTGTTGAGTGATGGGCCAATTTCCATGCCCCGCCTGCAGGGCTACCACGGGTTCTCGACCACCCTAAGGAGGGAAGGTAGGGACAGGAGATACAAAGGAAAACACACCAAGTCTAGATTCTGATCAAGGTGCCACTTTATTTTTTCCAGAAGGGTTTATATAGTTCCTGCAGGGTGGGGGGAACAAGAAGCTGTCATCTGCATAAGGTGGGGCAAGCTAACAGGATGTTTGTATGGGATGTTTACAGGGTGAGAGGGTCAAGGGCTCTGACTCAGTGTCCTGTTGCTAGGCAACCTGACTGTAAGCTGATCTAGTTCCCTGTCTTATGGGGGGGGGGGCAGGTGTCTGTATTTTCCCACTAACTAGAGATTCTGTCCTTGTCCCTGACATTTCTACAGACTTTTCTCTTTGTTTCCTTGGTCTTGTCTTTGTAAAACACGTGGCTAGGTGGTGTCCTGGTCTTTGGTAGGGCTGCTGTGGACTGGGCCTTAACAAAAACGTGTTTGCTCAGTTCTGAAGGAATCTGAGGTCAGGGTGTGGGCAGGCTTGGTCCCTCCTGAGGCCTTTCTCCTTGACTCTTTGTGTGGTATGATTACTTTTTTGTACTGTTCTACCTATTTTTTTTTTTTCTTAATAAGAGTATTAGGCACAAAAGTCTCCATGTGGCTTTTTAGATGAAGTTGACTGGAGAATGTGGACCCTCTGGATGTCCTGACATCCCCTGCAGCAGCTTTGGAATTATAAATTGTATTTCCATTTTTAAGTTTCACATAGGTTTATCATTTTTGTGTCTTTTTATAATTTTTATTTCAGATTATACTTTTTTTTTTTTTTTTTTTTTTTCAAGACATGCTTTCTCTGTGTAGCCCTGGCTGTCCTGAAACTCACTCTGTAGACCAGGCTGGCCTCAAACTTGGAGATCCGCCTGCTTCTGCCTCCCAGGTGCTGGGATTCAAGGTGTGCACCACCACCCCTAGCTTTTATTTTCTTTTTTAAGTACTGAGGATTAAACTCAAAGCCTTGTGCATCGTAAGCAACTACTCAACCACTGACGTGCATCCTTGGCCAAGTTATTCTTGTTAATATTCTCACATATCAATAAATAGTGTCCCCGGCAGTTACCGATTTAAATGTGTCTGTGGATTCTGCAAACACACACACACACACACACACACACACACACACACACACACACACACACACACCTTTTTTCCCTCTTACTATAATGCTGGGAATTGTATCCAGGACCTCAGACGAGCTAGGTCAGCACTGGGGTACTGAGCTATAGTCCTAACCTGGATTTTGCTCTTTCAGCCCTACCCACACTCACCACACAAACACAGCATATTAACGCCCAAAGAAGAATTAACTAGGCCCATGGTCTCTGGACTCAGCCACTACTGACACTTAGATTCTGTTCATTTCCCACTTTTTTTGTGGTTAAGTGAAACAATGTTACCTTTGTATATAATTTGTACCCTGCCTTTCTCATAAACATTTTCATTTTAATGAAAGCTGACAGTTAGTTCAGTGTGATGAATATATGGGTGTCATCATTATAATGGACCACTGTGAACCTCAAAATATTTTGCATTATTGAACATAGTGAATTTTGTACTTTGTCTTTTCCAAAACTTTGTCTTTTCCAAAACTTCTTACTGACAGAAAAAGTTAATGACTGCATAACGTTTTGTCGTATGAATATGGCAGCGTTGCCCACGTCCTTTTCTTGCTGTTTAATTTGCTTCCTGTCTCCTGGTTTTGCATCTGTAAGGCAGCCAGCCCTGTGTGCACAAGTTTATATCTATATTTTCAGTTCCCAGAAGTAGAGTCATGGGGATCACCTCTTAAACTCATGCCTGTCTCACCAATTTTCCCAAAAGGTTTTTTTCTCACCTAGTCATGTCAATGTCTTTCTGTGGTTTTTGTTGTTTGTTTGTTTTAATTTGCAATGTTGACAGTAAAAAATGGTTTTCCATTCCTTCCGTTGTTTGGAAAGTTGAACATTTCTGTTTTCTAGTCACTTTCCCTCCTGCTTTCTAATTGGCTGCGCCTCCAAGCTTTCGTGTTGTGCTCTTGCTGCTTTTAAGTTTTCTGCAAATGTCTTGTCTTAGCAGCTTTGCCTTTCAAATAAGCATCGTTGTTTTTTTTGACAGACTGAAAAGCGCATCAGTGATAGGTGATGCAGTAATATGGAAAGCCGTGTCCTGGTGGCCTCAGTCCTGTGTCTCCTCCCTTTGTTGTCTAAGCAGTTGGTAGAGGAGTTGTGTATAGGGTCCCATGGGTGCTTTGTGGTGTGTTAACTCCAGCAGAGTCTCAGGCACAACAGAGATCACTTACAACATTTAATGTCGTCACAGGCTACACCCTTCTGTTAATCTCTGATATCTATTTCTTTTGTCTTTTGTTTTTAAGTTCACAGTTTTAGGGAACAGAAGACTTGCTGCCCTGCCCTGCTCCCTGTCTTGCCTTTCTGAGTGCCATGGGTCAGGGGAAAGTCATCCGGTGTCACCCACCTAATTACTTCCATCCTTTCCCCCTCTTCACAGTGAAGGCAGCCGAGCGACTCTCCACGGTCTCCCTCCAGCCTCTGGAAGAGGTTGATGGCAGTGTCAGGGGACAGAGCAGCCTTCCCTCAGCTCCATCCCTGGCCTTTGTCACAGGGAGGTGCGTGCTCATCTCCCGGGCGCGCTTCGAGGTTGACATCGGCTATTCGGAGGAGCTGATCGCACTGTTTAAACAGATGGATTCCAGGAATTACGGCAAGTGGTTGGTCTCCGAGAGATCTGTGATGGCACTGTTTGTCTCTGTCTTTGACTGTCACACTGACTTTCCTGATAGAGGTGTCACTGTATCTTCAGGACAGTGACATCTCACTTGTCACAGAGAGTCAGCACGTAATGGCAGCTGCTTTATCGCTGAGCTTCCCAAAGAGAACATTCTACTGTTTTCTTAATTGCCTGGCCAGGGTTGTCTTGACAAGTGTAGGTGCTTTGCTGCCTCGACTTTAAAACCCATTTATTGGGGCTGGAGAGATGGCTCAGTGCTTAAGAGCGCCGCTGCTCTTCCAGAGGACCCGGGTTCAGTTCCCAGTACCCACATGGCGGCTCACAACTGTCTGTAACTCCAGTTCCAGGGGATCTGATGCCCTTATACAGATAGGTGCAGGCAAAACACCAGTGTACATAAAATAAAAATAAATAATTAAAACATTTTTTTAAAGCCCGCTTGTTTCTATTTTAGCCTTAGAAGAACAGAAAAACAGTAGTTGCCCTACAGCTGTGCCCTAAGACAGTGGGGTCAGACTTGGGCATGCGCAGGAAACGCTGGTTGCTAACACTGTAGCTATGGGATGGGGGGGTGGGGAGTGGGGGGTGGATGTCTTTCTAAGAAGTTCCCTGGTGGTGGCTGTGGAACCAACCTCAGGACCACCACGCCCATCATGAGAGCTGCTAGAGGTTCATGAAGTTGAAAGCGAATGAGTGAGTGTGTGCCTCTTTCTCTCTCTCCCTTGCAGATGCCAAGACCAGGAAGTGGAGCTTTCTCCTGGAGGAGCACAATAAACTGAGTGAGAAAGCCACCTCTCTGCTGTTTATCACGCTGTTAACCTTTCGTTGTGGCCTTAGCTTTAAAATGGCTCTGAAAAAAAATTTTTTTTTAAATTTTTTAAAATCCGTATCTGTCTCACTGGCAGAAAAATACAAAAGAAAAACTTTTTGTTCTTTGAGGAAGGCCTTGCTGTAAACGGCAAGGTTAAGTTGAATATGAGGTGGTGCTATTTTAGTATCCATAAAAACTGGTCGAAGCAGGAAGGGCGGGCAGGGCAGATCGGAAGTTCTCTGACTGCTGTTTGGAGCTTCTGATTCAAAGAGAACTGTTGGCCTAGCCTGAATTTTTGATGAGAGACAGGAATTAGTTCTCTCCTGTCCCTTCATTGCCTTTCTTGACCAAGAAAGACAAATCTGTGAGCAATAAAATGCTCTGCCTTTTATGGGCCGACGGCGCAGGATGCTTGGCATTAGCGCGTGAATGCAGTGCTGGGAAGCCGTGAATCGAGGGTCAGCCTCCCACAGTGGCTTCTAGTGTTTTGCAGGCTACAGAATTTAAACTGTCTAATGAACTCAGTTCCTCGTGCAGAAAAAGGCCCATCATGAGCGCACTTCTAGAATTTGTATTAGACATTAGTAATTCTCTAGGCCCGGAGATTTCTAATTTTTATTTGTTATTTCTTGGTTACATTGTCTCAGTAAGGAAACCTTCGCTTGCCTCACTGGGGACATTTTGGGGTCACAGTGGCCTCAGTGGTGGCGGGAATAAGAGTTAAACTCCTCCTGCATTTGTAACCGTTAAGAAGTTCTGAAGCCGACTCTGAGCTCTGAGAGGCCCGAGTGGGCACTCCGGAGAGAGCCTGGTTCAGTTTCCATCTGTGCTGGTCCTGGGGAATCTGCACCTTCCTTCTCCCTGCACATCCTCCTCCTCGTGTGTGAAATCAGATTATTGACGCCACGCTAGTTGCGCACACGCATGAGATGCTAATTAACAAATGGCCGTGAGGCCTGAGTGTGTCATCAAAGACGTGGCGAGAGTCATTTCCTCTAGGAAAGGGACTCTCAGAGGTTTCTCTTCTTTCCACGTGACTGGACGCCTTCTGCCCACAGTGAAATTGGCATGAGGCCGTTTGTTTCTCTCTGCCTGTCACAGTCCAGAAGGGTTCTCCATGATCCCGTCTTGTCAGCTGCTGTTTGGAAACACGCGCATCTCTCAGCTGTGTGGCTAGCACATTCTGCCAGGGAGCTTTGTGTAGAAATAACTTCTGTGTGACTCATGAAGCCAGACAGCACATGCCTGTCATTCACCAGCACCGTGAAAGGACAATAGGCAGCGCTGACTGGGGAGGGCGGGGTGCTCAGAAGCACCCCGTGAGGGGAGCTGGCAGCACAGGACTTTGGAAATAGAGCTGTATGAGACAGTGGCGTCCGGCGCTTCCTCGCTGAGTGGTTGAAAGAACAGGTGCTAACAGAGACCTTGCAAGCCAGGCTCTCAGCAGCGCCTCGCTTTCCTTCCCCAGGTACTTGAGTTCTGAAGATTGCTAGAATTATGATGAGAACGGCCTCGGCCAAGTACATTGAGTGCTCCATCTCCCGAAGTTTGTATAAATTAGCACATTCCAATCTAATCTAAGAGATAAAAAGTAGAGTTCTACACCAGTGTGGAACAGCCTACTTTATATTAAAGCCATCAGCCTTACTTAATTTCTGTTGTTAATTCTATTCATGGAAACTTTCCAGAAACAACTGGGGTATGTGTTTGTGTGTGTGTATACACAAATATATATATATGTATGTATTGTGTTTGAGTGGGGAGGGATATATATCTCCATGTGTCATAGCCTGTGGCACACACACACACACACACACACACACACACACACACACACACACATATATATATATATATATATATATATATATATATATATATATATACATGTATGTATGTATGTATGTATTGTGTTTGATTGGGAAGGGATATATATCTCCATGTGTCATAGCCTGTGGCACACGTGATCAGAGAACAAATTGTATGAGCCAGTCTCTTCTACCATGTGGGTTCCTGGGATTGACTATAGGTTTCTAGCTTTGGTGGCATGCACCTTTACCTGCTGGGCCATCTCACTGGCACCTGATAATTATATTTAGTAAAGGACAAAGATTGAATTAAAAACAAAACAAACCAAAAATACTAAGCAACTGAAGCTAGCAGCAGATGGCCCAGCTGTCCACGTTCACATCTGTGTTAGCCCTAGTAATCCACTGGTGGTTGAAGCCCAGAACTTTGGGAATACCCTTGAAGTATTAAGAAACAGTATCTTGAACAGAGGTGATCAGGATCGCTTCTATGTTCAAGAGAACCATAATTTTTTATTTATTTATTTTTGGTTTTTTGAGACAGGGTTTCTCTGTGTAGCTTTGCGCCTTTCCTAGAACTCACTCTGTAGCCCAGGCTGGCCTTGAACACACAGAGATCCGCCTGCCTCTGCCTCGAGTGTTGGGATTAAAGGCATGTGCCACCACCGCCTTGCGAGAACCATAATTTTACCAGAAAAAAAAAAAAGTTTTATCCAGGTGGTGGTGGTGCATGCCTTTAATCCCAACACTCGAGGCAGAGGCAGGCAGATGTGAGTTTGATCCCAGCCTGGTCTACAGAGCCGTGGCCTGTGTGTGGAAATCTGAAGGAGACCTCTGGAGCCTCATTTTCTAGCTTTGATACAGGGTCTCTTCGTTGCTTTTCTGCTGCATACTTGGAGGTAGCTGGCCCCGGAACTCGGGGAGATCCTCCTGTGTTTGCCTGCTGTCTCCCTGGAGGAACCTGGGATTCTAGACTCATGCTGTGCATCTGGCTTTTACATGGTCCTGGCTATCCAAACTGGTTCTTACGTTTGTCCAGCAAGCTCTTTTACTCACTGAGTCTCTCTCTGTCTCTGTCTCTCTGTCTGTCTCTCTGTGTCTCTGTCTCTGTCTCTGTCTCTCTCTCTCTCTCTCTCTCTCTCTCTCTCTCTCTCTCTCTCTCTCTCTCGTGCGCGTGCACACACACTCCTGGTGACAGGTACTTCAGCTGTTTCACTGTAGAGATGACAACTTTAAGACGCTCTCCAGAGGAGATTGTTATTTTCGTACGAAACGAGATTGAAAGTGTCTGTCTGTCTTGGTTGCGGCCTGAGCGTGCACGCTGCCTCTTGCTATTGTTTGTTAGCAGACTGTGGTCCTGCCAGTCTCACTTGGGAACCCTAGTGGCTTCTCTCTGAAGAGCACCGTGTTTCTTCTGCTGTTGACAGAAGGCCACTTAAGGGCCCTCTCTTCCCCCAAAACACTGAAGCCATCAGAACAAGGCTTCTTTCTACTGAAGACTGGCTTTTTTAGGATCTTTCTGGGATGATTTTGAATGGCTATTTTAATAGGTATGAGCCTTTCTGTATTTGAATGGAGCTATAAAGAAAGAAAATCAATTAGGTTGAAAAAAATCACAAACCTCTGATAGTTCTTTCTAGTATGGTATCGTCAGCCAAACCACTTTTGCGTTACTGAGTACCCTCTTACCTGTAGGTATAAGGACTAGAGAGAGAACACTGGCGTTTGTCTGGCCTGGTGCTCAGCCAGCGACATGTTCTGCAGTTAGCCCTCGTAAGAAAACAGCATGTAGCAGAATGCCTCTTGCTGAATTCTGTGTACTAAAGCCCTTCCTCTTTGTCCAGGTCTTTTGGACCTGTGCATTCTGGTTCACACGCCTCTTTTATCTTTCCAGTTACAAAGTCACGTGATCTCAAGCAAGTTCGGCTGGACCCTCTGCCCAAGACAGTGACCCTGGCATTTGCATCTCAGCTGGAGAAGACATCTCTCAATGCCCAAGCAGACGTGCCTGAAGCTGACCTTTCTGGAGTGGATGCCAAGCTTGTGGATAACCTCATGCCCTTCCAGAGAGAGGGAGTTAGGTAGATTCCTGGTCTTCCTCTTGCTCTCTCTCGCTTGAATTTCATCATTTAGCTCAGGTGGGGGTCAAATGCCCCTTTTATGAATCCTTACATGTATTCATCGCATACATGTCTGGAAGCATCTAGATTAAACATTAAACAGCCAGGTGTGCTGTTTCCAAAGCTTATTGCTAGCATTGGCTCCCAGTTCCCTGAGTTAACCAGGGCTTTGGATTGCAGGTGCTCAGAAGCCCAGTGCTCGTCAGCCGGAGGAAGAGATTTCTCCCCAGAATTCTCTGCTTTAGCACTGCTTTCTCCTTAGCTGGCACACTGCTCAGCCAGGTGCTGTTTTCAGGGGCTTGTGGCTGGTGCTCCAGTTTGGCAGCGTAGACTAAGGCTGTTTCTGTGCTGCGGAAAGGGAGACTGCTTCCTGAGGCTGCGGAGAGGACGAGGAGGTACCCGGGAGGGATACCCATTGGCCCACGTGCTGCCAGGCCTTGGTGTGCTGGCCTCTGGTCTCCAGAGAGCTGCTCAGTCCTTGCACCTCGGGGAACTTACCAGAAGGCCAAGGGCAGCTGAAAAGTCTTGTGGTGCCCACAAGCCGATGAGAAGAGATTACGCTCTGTTTTCACGGCGTAAGAGGGAAAGAGAAGAAGCTGTCCACTAGGTTTCTGAGCCAGCAATCAATTTTTCACAGATCTGATGAGAGAGGACTGGAGTTGGGAGCTGGGGACCAGACGTCTGATGCGCAGACTCTTTGTAGTTTCTCGGGGACTCATCTGCAACGCGAGCAAGTCATTCACTGTTCTGCTCTCACTACCTCCCTCCCTTCTGTGGGGTGATGGTTATAACCGAGACTGTTCCTCAGGGTTGAGCAAGGTGCCAGGCACCAATCCCAAGTGCTTTTTTCACTCTTTCTCCCAACTGTGGCTCAGGCACTGCTTCCTCCGGCCTCACTGGTGCACTTGGAGGTACATCAGGAAGCACAGTGGCTGAGTAATAGAGTTGAGATTCCAGTCCAGGCCCGTCTGGCTCTACCCTTGTCTATAGACTGTCAGCAAGGCCCAGGGCACGTAAGTGCCTGGGCACTGCCAGCCTGTGAAAAAACCCTCTGCTAGAGCCAAGTTCTCATCCTCTCTCCTCTCTGTCCCTTTTGCCCGTGGTTTTCGTCACTGCTGGCTCCACTCTGCTCCGGAGCATGTGGCGTGAGCTGTGAGTCTCAGGATGCCGCACTGCTAACTCCACTGACTCTCATTTCTTCCTGTCCTTCCCGGGCACATTTCTCAAGGGAGATCAAACCCCTGGATGTGGATGTTGCATCATGACCTCTCGTGGTCCCCCGTGCTTGGTTCAGGTGGAGTTTTCTCACTGTGGCTTCACTCCTGACTCCTACCTCCTCCGGTTGTGGCCGGTGGTCTCCTGCATCCTCCTCCAGCGTTCTTACCATTCTGCGTTTGCACTGTCTGGTTCTCTCTTGTCCTCCTATTCTGTCTCCTACATGGCTCCTGCCCTGTCCTTTCTGGAGAGAGCCTCGCTGAGAGCGCAGCGCGTTCTTGTCGGGGTTGCAGCCTGCACAGAGGGCCCTCGGCTCTGTGCTGGCGCGTTGATTAGGATGGACAGAGTGGCCCCTGCACCATGATGCTCACCTACCCTGTGTGTTTGCAGCTTTGCCATATCAAAAAGAGGCCGCCTGCTGCTTGCTGATGACATGGGCCTGGGGAAGACCATCCAAGCCATCTGTATAGCCGCCTTTTACCGGAAGGAATGGCCGCTCCTGGTGGTCGTGCCTTCCTCTGTGCGCTTCACCTGGGAGCAGGTTAGATTTCTTTGTGTTGGAATCATTGGGAAGGGCTTCCTCAGGGCTCGAACATCACAATTACAGTGTCGAGGCAAGGCCCGGGGTCTTTAAAGGTCTAGATGTGGGTCAGAGACCAGCAGGAAGGCGAGTTGGTCCCTGAGAATGGGGAGTCCTGTTATCCCCAGAGGGAGGCAAGCCAAGCAGTCACTAGCTTAGGGACCTATTGCCAGTCCCTCAGCAGGTGCTGTACCTCTGTGCCCTTGTAAACAAGACCTTCTTTCTGCACTGCACCCAATTTCTGGACTGTCTTTACTTCCTTTGTCTCTCTAATTCTGTGACACAGCACTCAGTGACCCACTCTACAGATAAACTAGGTCTCCAGGAGGTCAAGAGCTGTGCACCTACCTCCTAAGGGGGCATCTTCCCGACTTCTCTGCTCAGCGTTTGCCTTGCTGTAGGGTGGAGTCCATAGCATGTTTGTGTTCCCCAGACACCCCAATGATGGAGGCCTGATGTAAACATTGAATAATGAATTTTTTTTTTTAATTTAAGCAAATTCAGTGAAGGAAGGCCTAGCTTATTTCCCAAGCTTCATGGCTTTATGCTGCTGATGTAGGGTATCAGTTTCCTCACGGGTGACCTCTTTCTAAGGCGTCAGAGTGCAGAGGCTGCTGCTGCTGGTGAGGTTTGGATCCTGCCACTACCTGTAGAGAGTTCCCAATATGTATCTGTGTGTGTTAGATTTCCCTCAGAACGTCCAGAAAGAGTGAGGTAGCTGCTTATAAACAGGACCAAGACTAGAGAATTGATGTCAGGACATAGGTGGCCCAAGCAAGGCCAGGGGCACCTACATGCTCAGGCTCCAATATGGGGACACCCAGTGGCCTTCCTGCAACCCCAAGTTGCCTGATTTATCCAGATGGGCTTTGGGGGAACAGCAGGTGGTTTGAAGAAAACTAGCATAAATGTTTTCATCCTCCTCAGTAAGCACAGTTTGCCTTTAGTGTCCGAGGCTCTTGTGGGGCCTTCATAAAATTCTTCGAATCATATTCTTCCAAGCAGGAACTGCTGTGCTGACCATGTAGAGAACACAGAGAAGATATCAGAGGCATGTGAGAGGCCTGCTCACAGGAGAGAGTCCTGTCAGTACATAGTGAAGGGGGAGGAGTGGACTGGAGGCAGGGAGAGATGGCCAGGTTTGGCAGATGCAGGAGAATGTGGAGAGGGAGTGTGTCTTCAAGGAGTGTGAAACTTGGTCCCCACTGAGAACGCTGTCGATGCATTGGCTGGAGTCGTCACTTTGTTTCGCTGTCCCCTGTCCCCTGCAGGCCTTTCTTCGGTGGCTGCCGTCTCTGAGCCCAGAGAACATCAACGTGGTGGTGACCGGGAAGGGCCGCCTAACAGCTGGCTTGGTCAACATTGTTAGTTTTGATCTTCTTAGCAAGTTGGAAAGGCAGCTAAAAACCCCCTTCAAAGTCGTCATTATCGTAAGTGACTTGGCAGAGTTCTGAAGTATTTGATCTCTTAGACACTCTGAAGGGCTCCTCAGACCTGGAAATTTGACCTCACTGATCCTCTCTGGCAATAGAAATCACTGCCTTCCTTTGGTAGGGAATGATCTATTCCTTTCCTGAAGCAGCTCTTATGCCTAACTGTGTACCAGACTTTCCTGAGGAGCATTTAAAACAGTCCATCCCTCCTGGCCTCCTCCTGTGAGACCAGGGATGGGGGCCAGCATGTGTGCACCAGGCCACTCTGGGTCCCAAGGCCTGAAGCCTTGCCTGCAAGGGTGCGTGCGTGCATTGGTACCACCTTGTTAATGTCGTGGTTCAGACATGGGGTTCGGCAGTCAGTCACGTTCTTTCACCTGGTTGGAAGACACGTCGCCCTCCCTGCTAGAAGAAAAGCCGTTTTTACTTGAGTTGTTTTTAAAGACATCTGCACCTGCTTCCAAGTCGGACAGACAGTGTTGCTTTCAGCAACTGGCTTCCCTGTTCGCTCCTCACACATATCGTGAACACCTGGGCAAACTTGGTGCCCAGCCAGCTGTGAGCATAGAGTATGTGGGCATGGTTCCCAAATACAAACACGGCTGGAACCCAGAGCAGGGAAAGAGAGGAGATGGTTGCGGACCCCAGGGGATAGTCAGTGTGGTCTGGAAATGAGAACCCCCCAATGTTCTTAGTGTGTGCAAACAAGAACACATATTTTATCAACGCTATTTGAGTAAGGAGTCTTCGGGGGCGTCATGTTGGTCTTGGCACAAATTCAGGTGTGGCTTTAAAAGGATTGCAGCATTCTGGTGAAATGAAGTATTAACAGAAATATTCCGGGATGGTCTCGGTGGCTCTAGGACGTAGGGCCAGTGATGGCTGCTTTTCCTGACCGTGACCTCGTAGTAGCTGTTTCATATATAACCACTACTCTCCCCTGTGTTTGCAAATGGTACTGCCTTTAATTCACTTGAGCTGACAGTGCAGGCAGATCCATCCTTTTCCTTAGTTGCAGAGCTAGCATGTGGGAGAACCGTTGACTGGAGCTTTGTGGCATGTGGCTTCCGAATTCATGTGTTTCTGTTCCTGGCTCATCACTCACGCAGCCTTGAGATTCTGGACAAATTGCTAGCCACTTGGGTTGGTCTGTCCTCAGATGCAGCATACAGCCTGCCATTTTCTGGCTTCACTGTAGTAAGGGATGAAGTGGTGGCTCTCTACACACACTTTGTAGATGAGGCTTCTTTTTTTTTGGTTTTTCGAGACAGGGTTTCTCTGTGTAGCTTTGGAGCCTGTCCTGGGACTCACTCAGTAGACCAGGCTGGCCTCGAACTCACAGAGATCTGCCTACCTCTGCCTCCCGAGTGCTGGGATTAAAGGTGTGTGCCACCACCGCCCGGCGGATGAGGCTTCTTATCTTGAGCCGCTGTGTGTGGCTTGCCCTGGCAGTGGTACCTTTTTACCCATGCTTGAAAGGGCCAGTTCCCTTTCATGCCTGGTACGTTTTCTGCAACTTCTCTCTGTAAATGGCTTTCTCGTGACTTTTATGAGGACTTATCCTGAATCAGGATCATGAATGTAGTAGCCCAGGCATGTGGGGGATGCTTTCCGGACATTTGAGAAGTCTCACACTGCCCATTGTGCTTTTGAGGCCCCTTTTGTCTATCATAGCTGAAATGGGGCAATCTGGGGGAACTTAACAGATTCAGGGACAGAGGGAGGATCGCAGTAGCCCCTGACACAGGGAATACTCATTGGGTAGTAGGACTACTTTGCGGGCTGTCCCTGCATTAGCTTATTTCACGCATAGCAATCTGATATTCTAGGAGCTACCATTATATCCATTATATCTAGGGGTAGAGAAGCTGGGTACCATAGCTCAGAGCTATTTGGCAAGCAACTGGAATATGCCAATATGTTCACAACACCTTTGTTTTTAGAAAATATAGAAACTTTTATGTTTGCTTATATACAGAATGTACAACTATAAATCTATCAAATGCCATGTTTTCAACAGAACGGTCTCCAAAGGTCATGTGGACTGCCTGTGTATCAAGGACTGTCTCTCTTTACTCATGTGGCTCTTTCTTTCAGGATGAATCACACTTCCTCAAAAACATTAAGACTGCCCGCTGCCGAGCAGCTGTGCCCATCCTAAAGGTAAGTGTGGCCGAGAGAGACTTGGGGCCTTGATACAATGTTCTTTGCTCAGGCATGCAGGGCGTCCTGGCCAAACAGTTGGCAGCCCAGGCCGATGAGCTAGGGGTGGGACTCAGTGCTGGTATTGGACATCTCTTCCTGGGCTATGTGCTAGTTTACATCCTGCCAAGAACCCCGTCCACATGAAGTCCTGTTGAGGGCCACAGACTCAGATGAGAAGAGACTGAGTCTTCCTTTGGCTTCCTGCCAGTACAAGAGGACCTGTAACAGCATGTCACTAAACAGCTCAGGAGAAACTACATCACTTGTATTGGCAAAGCTGCCAGGGTGTGATATGTTATCTAAGCATAGAACCAGGCCAGGGCTGTGGGCATCAGAACCTCTGGCAAGGCTGAGGCTTACCTGGTTGGTCTAGGTAAGCTGATTAATCCGTTTCACATTGTCTGAGGCCTGTGGTTAACTAGATGGTCCACTGTGTACGTCTTTTTTTTCCCACGTGTTCTCAGATCTGCACCTGTCCCTGAGCCCGTGGGCTGGCGTGTGTTCTGGCTTCAGGGTGGGCAACAGTGAGCCTGTAGAGCAGGGTCAAGCCTTTCTCTGTACACATTCTGATGAAGTCCGACCCTTGTCTGTTCTGTGTCCTGGACCCCACTCCTCAGGTCCATGACACCATGCTTAGTTCTGGAGTCCCTAGTTCTGATAATCGGCTAAATGAGATGCCAGCTAAAACTCTGAGATTTTTGTTTATGTTTTACTTTTAAAATAAATAGATGATTAAGTTTACAAAGATTACAGTACAGTAAAACAAATAAACAAAAAAAACTTGTCTTCTCCTCCCGTCTTTGGACCCCTGGCCTTTGCTGTCCCTCAGAGATAGCCTTAGCGATCAGATTCATGGTTTACTTCTGTAGGAGCCTGATTCTAAATGTGTGTTTTCTTCTGTCCTGCGGAGTATTCTCCAGCCCCTGGATTTTCATTGTTTCCTTTTTCTTCCTTTTGGAGACAGGGCATTGTATAGCCCAGGCTGGTCTTGAACTCCTGATCTTTCTGCCTCTGCCTCTCTCTTGTGGAGATCACAGGTGTGTGCCACCATACCTAGCTGCTCCAACCAGCTTTGGAGCTGGCCTGCCTGGGGTGATGAGAGAGCAGGCAATAGACATACCTACTGAAAAGCTGGGATTGGGTGGGCTGTGCACTCTGACAGAGGCACACTAGCAGCCGGAAAACTCCGTGTATTTATTCTATACCACTGAATGAGGAAGCAGGTTTCTTATGCAGCTGGAGGAGGAGAGTGGCTAGCTCATCTCAGTGGGAAGTTTCTGTAGGGAGCATTCTCAGATTGCAGTCATCTGGAGGAGGCAGCTATGGTTAATAGTTTCTGCATACACTGATTTTAGCTAACGGTCAATCCTCTTAACATCAGTACTTGGATGCCGGGCGGTGGTGGCGCATGTCTTTAATCCCAGCACTCCGGAAGCAGAGACAGGCAGATCTCTGTGAGTTCCGAGGCCAGCCTGGGCTACAGAGCGAGATCCAGGACAGGCACCAAAACTACACAGAGAAACCCTGTCTCAAAAAAACAAAAAACAAAAAACAATAAAATCAGTACTTGGACAAGGGGCTGGCTTTGTCATTTCCCTGACCTAAACCAGGGAAGGCTTTTCCATTTCCATGGTGTGTGGCACTGGGGTCCTGACATGGCCATGCTCATGTCAACAAAACACATTCGCTCAGGACTTCATCCATTCCCCACACCTAGTTTTATAACAACCACTGCTTTATCCCTATTATTTTCCCCTGGATTGTGTGTCCTGAAAATCATTCCATGTCATTCCAAATGACTGCCTCACCCTTACATACAGCATATGTATGTGCTGTATAAGTCCACCAAAATGTGTATGTACCCTTTTGTTCTCTTTGGATTTGTTGTATGGACTCGAAATAACCCCGGTTCTTTGCCTCAAGCATCGCTGGGCTCACACTTCCCCTCTGTGCGTGGCTTATCTGCTTTGGCTAACTGCAGGGCATTCTCCTTGGTGCATTAGATGCTCTAACTTGTCCTGCATTGCAGAGTCCTGCAGGACTTCTGCCGCTCAGCTCCGAGGAAACGGCTCAGATGGCCAGCTGCCCTCACAGTGTCTGCTTAGGAACTGCTGTCTTCCTGACACCAGAGTTCTTTTATGTTGTTCACTGGGTTTTTCTCAGATGCCACTGTCTTCCCTCAGCCTGGGGAGTTGACGATACAGTGTTTAACTTAGCATTAGGGGTTTATGTCATTTTTATACATTTTCTTTTCCTAGGTGTGGGTTTCTCAGAGATAGACCAAGCATAGCAACTATTTCCAGCTGGGCACAGATCCAAGGCCTTATAGATGACTGATCACAGTTTTGGGTCTGAACAGGGAGCAGGTTACGTCATTCCATGGCAGATGAGATGCTGTTCTGGTTTCTTCTCAAAGCCAGCCTTTCTCTTTCCTGCAGTACACCCTCTGTTTTTCAGCCCCCACACCCTTCCCTTAGTCCTTCCCCTATTGCTTCCATCTGGGAAGGGTATGAGGGAACTAACGACTGACTCGTCCCAGGGTGAATCTGCCGCCTGACCTGGGAGCTGGTTTAGCCCAGGCTCTGTCCAGGCAAACACAGAGGCGTTGGGAACACATTGTAGATGGTGGGCAGATGTCTCCTATTGAAACTTTCTGTTTCCACTATTTTTTTGGGGGGGGGAGCGGGGGAGACGCGTGAGGGGGGGGGCTTTTGCCACTTTCCTTAAAATAGGCTAACGCCACAGAGATACCATGTACCCAGTGTTATCTTAATGGGCCCGAGTTAAACTGCGCAGGAAATCATAGCCAGAGGAACTCCTGGCTCTGCCATCAGAATGGGATTAGGCACTGGCCGTGGCTGAGAAGGAAGAAACACATTTTGAGAATTGTGCCTATTGTATATTTGGAGGAATCCTCTTTCTTCATGTTACACCTTTATTTTCATGAGCAGCGTATCCATTTGGAAACCTGATTTCCTCCCTTTGGACACGTACTTCTTGTGACTGCCCTGTGTTTCTGTCGTTAGCACGAGGTTACTGTGGTTGGCAAGCAGTTTCTAGGCACTGAGCCCCGCAGTGGGGTCTCCCCCAAAGCTGAGGGGATTTCACCTCTCACCGTGTGGCGACTTGATGGTTGTTGTGGCACGGTCTCCTCTCGGTCTCACTCTTTCCCATCTCACTAAGGTATGATTTGGGAGTGATCTGCCTGGGTCAAGTCGGAGTCAGGGAAGTGAAGAACCTGGACTCCCCTGGAGCTGGATCAACCGGCTCTGTGTTTCCCTCCTGGCCACTGCTGCAGACCCAGGCTGAGCTTGGTCAGTGGAGCTTGGTCTGGGTCCACCATTTAAAAAGTTCTTAGTAATTACACAATGAGCTTGAGTCTTAAAATACAGTAAAGTTAGAACAGACATTTTTCCTTTAAAAAAAAAAAATTAGTGAGTAATTGCCTGCTGCATAAGCATGGAGATCTGAGTTCAAATCCCTAGTGCTGGGTTTTGAGCAGAGTCAGATCCTTAGAGCTCATTGGCCCGCTGGCTTAGCTGAATGAATAAGAAACCCTCTGTCAGAAAATAAGGTAAACAGTGATTGAAGAAGACACATGGCGTGGACCATTGGCCTCTGTGAACACGTCACCCATGTGCACCTCCACGACACTTGCACACACCTACATGAATATGTACATACACTATATACAAAAAACATCAGCTAGAGCAGTGGTTCTCAACCTGTGGGTCGAAATCCCTTTGTGGGAGGCAAACGACCCTTTCACAGGGGTCGCACATCAGATATCCTGCATTTCAGATATTTACATTATGATTCATCCAGCAGCAAAATAACAGTTATAAAGTAGCAACAAAAATAATTTTATGGTGTGTGGGGGGAGTCACCACAACGTGAGGAACTGTATTAAAGGTCGCAGCGTCGGGAAGGTGGAGAACCACTGAACTGGAGGCTTCTACACAGGCTTTCTCTGTCATTACTCTTGATGTTAGCAGGGTCATTATGGTAAATTTAACATGAATATCAGAAATGTGTTCTGCAGGAAATTCAGGCCTATTGATCTCTTTGTTCCAGCACTGGGTCCCTTGTGCTTACCTCACGTTCCCTGAGTTTTTCTCAGCATGTAGTGTACACTGATTGATTACCTACTTTGTGCCAAGCACAAAGTGCTACAGAAAGTAAGTAGGAGCAGCCCAGTCCTAATCTCAGGGTTCTCTAGGGGAACAGAACTTACAGAGAGAGAGAGAGAGAGACAGAGACAGAGAGAGAGAGACAGAGAGAGACAGAGAGACAGAGAGAGAGACAGAGAGAGAGAGAGAGAGAGAGAGAGAGAGAGAGAGAGAGAGATTGATTTATTAGAACGGATTACAGGCTGTGGTCCAGCTATTCCAACACTGGTTGGCTGGAACCAATGGAAGTTCTAGGAATCCAGTGGTTCTGTCCATGACGCTGGATGTCTGAGCTGGTCTTCAGTATACACCAGAATCCCGAAAAAGTAGGCTCTAATGCCAGTGAAGGAATGGACTTGCTAGAGAGTGAGAACAAGCAGGCAAAGAGAGAGCAAGCTTCCATCATCCGTGTCCTTTATATTAAGGCTACCAGCAGAAGGTGTGGCCCAGATTAAAGGTGGCTCTTCCCACCTCAAAGATCTGGATTAGAAGTGGGTCTTCCCACGTCAAATGATTTAATTAAGATAAAATCCCTCACAGGTGTGCCTGATCACTGGGGTTTTAGTTAATTCCAGATGTAGTCACATTGACAACCAAGAATAGCCACCACACCCCCAAGAGCCTTGCGGTCGAACAAGGGCCCCAGTCCAGATGGTTCGGGAGGTGTGTGTGCTGTGTGTGACAGCAGCTAGGAGGGACTGAAGGAAGGACATCTGGTGCTCACGTCAGCAGTGCTCTTTGGGTTTTGCAACACGTGTGGTCTTTTTCTCTGGGTAGAGCGCCCGCCCTGACTTAGAGACCACACAGTTCTGGAGTGGGCTTGTCTTTGGCATCTTTGATAAAGGAAAGATCTGAGATGTTTAAAAGTTGAGAACTGGCTGGAGAGAAGGCGCGGGGGTGAAGTGTGGGGCGTTTACCCACCACCCCCACAGCTTCCCAGAGTTTTCTTGAGTGTGATCAGCAGGAAATATTAGATAGAAGGATTTATAGCGGAGAATGTTGCGGAGATAAACAGATAGAAAATAAAGGATAGTCTCGAGAGGGCCTGGAACCTATTCCAACGGGGCCCCGACTGTCTCTGGTCCAGGGTTTTTATAGAGACGCCAAGGGGTGGAGCAAAAGACCTCCTCCCCCAGCACAGCCAAGTGCAGACCATCTCAGACACCTGCACTCAGGCCCGTGGTCCTGATCATCCTCTATTCAGACCTGCTGGGTAAAGCCACGAGGAACCCCAGAACGGGCTCCCACAGTGAAGCACTTGCTGCTCTTCCAGAATTGTGCTGTTTACAATCACCTCTGGCTCCAGCTGCAAGGAATCCGATGACCTTCACGCACACACGCACGCACGCACACACACCAATTAATATGTATATGCTTAAAGTTGAGAGCCAGCAGTGAGAGAGCCCAGGAAGTGAAAGATGAAGCTGCTGTGGCCTGGGGGATTTTGTTCCTGGGGTAGGATGTGGGGCATCCAGCTGCTAGCTCAGTGTGGCATTTTTGCTCTTTTGTATTAAGGAATCTCTCATGGGGCAGGAGTCTCCATCATTTCCTCCTCACTGTGTTGAGAGCATCTCTGGCTGTGTTGTCTCTAGGTTGCCAAGAGAGTGATCCTCCTGTCGGGCACGCCAGCCATGTCCCGGCCTGCAGAGCTCTACACACAGATCATTGCCGTCAAGCCGACATTCTTCCCTCAGTTTCATGCCTTTGGACTTCGCTACTGTGATGCCAAGCGGGTATTCATCCTCGTCTCCCTAGCCCCTAGTCTTTTACCTTTGTGTCCACACCTGTCTTTCCAATGTGTGAACCAAGAAACGGGCCAGAAACCCAGACAAACATTTCATTAGAGTTCGCCTCTGGTTTTGACCTTAGAGTGCTTTCAAAGGCAAGATGAAATCTGTCCTAAGTTTTAACATATGTGGTGATTGCAGGTAGTGTTCTCTAGGAGAGGGTCCAGTAGTTACTGCACGGATGTGTAGGACTCTGAGCGGTGCTGTCTGGGTCCACCTTACAGCTCCTGTGCAAGGCTTGGAGCTGGGGCTGCAGAGGGAAAGTCCACACCAGAAGCAGACCCAGAAAAGGCACTGAGCAAGTTAGGGGGAAGAGCCCAAGCAGAGCCAAGAAAGCGGGTGAAGTAATAGGGTTTTTGGCCTGGGAGGAAGTCATCTCTACATAGAGACTCTTGGAGCAGATGAAATGGGGCAGGATTTCAAGCCGACTTGGGAGGGCTTCTCTGTGAGCCTGTGTCCTGAGTGGTTTCCTAGTGTATTCTGAGGGGATAGTTGCCCCTGACCCACAAATCACCCCTCTGAAGATGACTCCAAACCCGCTGCCTGCACAGCTCCAGTTCTCCAAGGATAGAAGAGAGAGAGTACCACAAACAGAAATGTAATGCAATCAGTATCACTGTTTGTAAATCCTCACCCAGTCCGACCTTAGTCATTTGTCTTATGATCAAATCACAAATACAGCGAGCCTCTATTTGCATCAAAGCCGCTGATACTTGGGAGAAATGGCTGCAGTTACTCACAGACAATCTATGAGTGAAAATCCCTGCCATGTGAATTCATGATTGATTCCCATATTTTAAAACTCCTTTAAAAAAGATATTTTAAAACATTTCCATTTACTCACAAAGTACGTGTAATGCAAATTACAGTGCTTTGCAGAGTTAATGGCAGACTTTGGTTAGATGGTTGTGAAGGTGGCTTCTCAGTTGTTGAATGTGTTTAAAAGCCTTGTATTTCATTAACACAGTCTGCAACCCACCTTCTCCATGATTGTTTCCAGAGTAGACTGTTGATCCGTTTCCTGTGTGTTTTTACTTTGGTCCTATTTGCAAATGATCTGCTTTCTGAATAGGATCCCTCCCTCAACTAGCTGAGTCTGTAGGTAACACCCACTGGAAGCACTAAAGGTGGAGTCGTCCTTCGGACTCCATTGTTCCTTCCTCTGTTCCCAGTGTCCGGCCACCCCTCCCCAGTCTCTGACACTGTGTGGCTCCATCCTCAACTCCTTCCCACCCACTTTCCTCACCTCAACAAACCATAGGTGTAGACAGTGTCTGGGTCTTCCTCATGTCCTTTGTTCCTCCCAGCCCAGTGCATGGGACCTTGTTAGAATGTGATTTAAAATCTTTGGCATTATTCAGGTTTTTTGTTTGGTTTTTTGGTTTTTGGTTTTTCGAGACAGGGTTTCTCTGTGTAGCTTTGCGCCTTTTCCTGGATCTCACTTGGTAGCCCAGGCTGGCCTCGAACTCACAGAGATCCGCCTGCCTCTGCCTCCCGAGTGCTGGGATTAAAGGTTTGCGCCACCGCCGCCCGGCCGGCATTATTCAGTTTTAACCTACAAGGTTAAGGGATAGGAGCATTAAACCTGGGGGCAAGATATCCAAATTAATTATGATATTCACATCTTTCCAAGATTTTTCCAGAGTATATCTTAGAGGGCAAGCTGTTTCTCCTCCCCCTAGGTTCATTCACTAAGAGACCTCACTAGAGGGGCTGGAGAGATGGATCAGAGGTTAAGAGCACTGACTGCTCTTCCAGAGGTCCTGAGTTCAATCCCCAGCAACCACATGGTGGCTCACAACCACCTGTAATGAGATCTGGCGCCTTCTTCTGGCCTACAGGCATATATGCAGGTGGAATATTGTATATATAATAAATAAATAAATCTCTTTGAGAGAGAAAGAGAGAGAGAGAGAGAGAGAGAGAGAGAGAGAGACAGAGACAGAGACAGAGACAGACAGAGAGAGACCTCACTAGAGAAAGCACCCTGTACCAAGCTCATCTGATACCCAGTGACTGTCTAGGAGCATTTACTAAGAACTCCCCTGAATTTGCAATTTGCACCCCCCCCCCTTTTTTTTTTAATTAAAAAAAAACAGCACTAGACCAATCTCTCTCTCCATCTTTGGCCATCTCTTTCTTCTCCCGGTTTAGCAGACACTTACCCTGTCTCCAGCATTGTGCTAGGTAGTTTGACTCCTCAAAAGTGAGCAAGCCCAGCTCCTCACCTCAGGTAGCTCATGGTCCGGGGAAGGCGAGGCAGGAAAGCAACTGAGTTGTGAGTGTGCAGAGCAGCAGAGGCCCCGTGCCCTCTGGTGTTCCGCTAAGAAAACAGTCCTGTTTCTAGTGGGAGTACTGGGGAAGGATAGGATATAACTGATGCTCGGTTGATTGGTGTCTGATCAATTGATTGCTGGGACGCGTTCAAACCCAAGGCCTGGCATATGCCAGGCAAATGCTCTACCGTCAGCCATTACACCCAGCCAGGGTTTTTACGTTAGTTTCTCACACCTCCTATAGCTATAAGGAGAGCGAGTAGAATCTGAACTCTCAGCCTACCCGCTGCGCAAGGGAACCCTGAATTCCAAAATTGTGATCTGATTTCAGCCAGAGACCAGCACAAACCTATCTTCTGGGCTCTTCGAACCCAAACACCAATCATTTAAGCTGATAGAAATGTTAGTTTCAGATTGTGGGCTGCCGTGACATGGGTTTTTAGTTTATCTCATGCCTGGCTTTTCCCACATCCTTTCTACCCTCATCTGTCTCAGTTGGGGTCCATCCAGTCTTGTGAAGCCTCTTGAAGTGGTCCGAACACAGTGGGGCGATAGGAAAACAGAGTGCTGCCTGGAGTTCTGAGGCTAACAGACACCCTCTCTTTCTCCTCAGCTCCCTTGGGGCTGGGACTACTCGGGCTCCTCCAACCTGGGCGAGCTGAAGCTGCTGCTGGAGGAGGCAGTCATGCTGAGGCGGCTCAAGTCTGACGTTCTTTCCCAGCTTCCAGCCAAGCAGCGCAAGATGGTGGTGGTCAACCCTGGTCGGATCAGCACCAGGGCCAAGGCGGCCCTGGATGCAGCGGCCAAAGAAATGATGGAGATCAAAACGGTGAGTGGGGCTGTGGAACGGGTGCCTCCATGGGGGTCCTGAAAGCTGCTCTGTGCGCGTGGTCCGAGTTCTCCGAATGTGGCTTTTCATTGTCTTTTCACCCTGCCTGAGCAAGAAGAGCCAACCCATTTCACTCCTCGCCTGACCTGCATGTGCGTGTGTGCGTGCATGTGTTTGTGTGTGTGTGTGTGTGTGTGTGTGTGTGTGTGTGTGTGTGTGTGTGTGTGTGTAGAGAGCATGCATGCAAGTATGCCGATGTGGGGCTGGGCCATGCATTTGGGTTGTCAGGAGTTGCAGTTCGTGTTTACAGAGAGTGAAATGAGGCTCACAGAGCTGAGGTTAGATACAGCATACAAGATGCCCTGCTGCTCGGCTCTTTCTTCATACTCTTCTTCAGTGCTGTGCTGTAGGAAGTGCTATAGAGAACTCTACACCAGCTCTGTCTGTCTTTTGGGAGAAAGCCTTATGCTTTTCATTAGCAAGAAAATAAACAACCCCTGCTAATTTTTGTCACATCACAGAGCTTCGTCTGGACCCCGATAGTCCCCAGACAAAACCAGTCAGCCACCGCTGCGATGTCAGCCTCTGAGAAGTGACAAAATACACAGAACAACAAGAGATGAAATGTGCAATGTTTCAGTGTTGTGGCGGGAGAAGCAAGGCTGGCCAGTGACTTGTAAGAAATTGGGTGGGGGCCTGGAGAGATGGCTCAGAGGTTAAGAGCACTGGCTGCTCCTCCAGAGGTCCTGAGTTCAATTCCCAGCACCCACATGGTGGCTCACAACCATCTAAAATGAGATCTGGTGCCCTCTTTTGGCATGTAGGTATACATGCAGGCTAGAACAGTGTATACATAATAAATAAATAAATCTTTTAAAAAAAAAGAAAGAAATTGGGTGGGATAGAGGAAGCCCTGGTGAGTTGTCATAGCATATTTACTGTCTGCTCAATTACGTGTGATGACCTGCATACCCCCGGGAAAAGGAGGTGTAGTCCCTGTGGTAGTTCCTGATGTGGACATGACAGATCATGTTTCTTCTTCTTGTGGTGGCTCGTGCTTTGGTTTGTCTTTAGAGACAGGGTCTTGCTCGTAGCCCAGGCTAGTTTCCAACTCACAATCCTTTTTCCTCTGACTCCTGCTGACTGAGATTGTAACTGTTTGCCACCATGTGTAGTTATATTTTGGTAGCACAGAAGGCGCTGTCCTAAAAATCAATCTTGGTGATCTTTTGCTGATCTCTACAATAAATAGTGAATAGAAACTTTATTTATAAATTTTAAGTGTTCCCTCTCCCTCTCTCCCTCTCCCCCTCCCCCTCTCGCAAGGGGTTGCGGGGGTGCTGTGCTGTGGATTAAACCCAGAGCCTTGCTCACGCTGAATGTGTGCTTTACCACTGCGCTCACCCCAGCCCATTACTTGCATTCGAGACAGAGTCTTACTATGTAGACCTGGCTAGCCTGGAACTCACGGAGATCCACCTGCTGGTACTTCCTAGGTGTGCCCTTACTGCCTGACCAGTGAACAAGGGCAGCAAATATAATGTTAATGGGGAGACAGGCATGCATTATTTTTAGATTCAAAGATACAGTTTTGGTTTGGGTTTTGCTAGTATGGTGGTGTTTTGTTGTATGAGTGAATGGAATAAGGCCATTAGTGTTTCTAAAACTAAAACAAAGCAGTGTGTGTGTGTGTGTGTGTGCGTGTGTGCGCTATGGTTAGTTCAGCAGTCGAGTGAGCAACTTTTAACCTGCACCAGTGTGTCCAGCTCTTTGAGTGTGCTGCATAATGCCACATATTATTTCACATGTAGCCTGATAGTTTGACTTCCCATCAAACCAACAAAACAATATTTTATTAGTAAAATTAAAGATAAGTCATGACAATTAGGAATGTTGGGTATTTCCTAACTTTAAGCAGCCGTACACACCCCTTTCCTTTGAGGGGGTGTATCTTAATGCTTCCATAAGTAGGACAGGGTGCTGGAGGTCCATAAGGCTGGAGGTCCATACTGCCTGCTGGTGACTGTCACCCTTGTCTTAGATACTGTAGAGTTCTCATCCTCTTTTGGAGATTATGGAAGTAAAGTCTGAGCTCAGTAAGTTCTTCCAACATCCAGGCTAGAGCCCAGAGGCCTTTTCAGCCCACCCCTGCCATCTGCTGCAAATCCAATGTTTAACTTCATCCAGGAAGCAGGAGCAGTGGCTGGCCAGTGCATAGGATGCCCACAGACAGAGCCCCACAGCTGTAAAACCTCGAGTCGATGAGGTTAAACAGAACCATGTTTTCATGGTGTTAGCCAAATAAGGAGACTCGCGGCTCAGCAGAAGGACCCTTGTTATCCTTACTTTTAGCCCAAGTACCTCTCAGCCTACATCATGGTCGCTCCGTCAGGCTCTGCTGGCTTGTCTGTCAAGGGCTGGTTCTTTGTTCTTTGACACCTCTCTGTCTACAAGACATTATTATAACCTTTGTATATAAAAGTGAAGGCCAAGCAGCCAATTTATAAAACCTGTTATCATGAAAGCTTTTCTCATTTTTCAGCTGGAACTGTTTCCTCAAAGGCTGAGGAAAGCTGGCTATAATGGCCTTTGTCTAAAGCTGGTTTCCGATCAGCGAAGAAGAAAATGAAGCAGGTCCATGCAGAGTCTCGGTGACAGCATCCCTTCCCCCTTGTCAGTTGGCAGGCCGTTCAGATTTCCAGTTAGAAAAGAAATCGGGGAACCCCAGTGCATCTATTTTAATAAGAATCGAGGAGTCAAGGAACAAAGGGCACAAGTTGTTTAAAAACCCCTTGCCCACAGCTAGAAAAGAAATGTGACCATTCATGGATAGTATGATGTCTGCTTGGTTTGGGAAAGTTTTTCCTTTCTTTTTAAAGATAAAATTATTGATTTCTCCCCCCATTAAAGTGCACAAGGATGGGGATGTAGGTCAGTGGTGGAATACTTGCTTAGCATGTGCAGGTCCCGGGGTTCGATCCCCAGTGTTGCAAAGAGAGAAAAAGAAAAATACAGTAGACGTCAGTAGTAGATGTCTGCCGTGTAGAATAAAGGCAAACACTTAGAATAAGTGGCATTTATTGAGTACTTGTGACTTTATAGGTATGTTGCTCTATGTGTATTGGCTATGAACTCTTACCATCAGGTTCCAAGCCCAGATATTTGAGCTCCCTAGAAACACTACAATTTCTACTTCTGCTATTTGGTAGAATATTAAATATATATATATATATATATATATATATATATATATATATATATATATATATACACACACACACATATATACACTTTTAAATATATATATTTCTATATGCCTATACATGGGCATTTTATATGTCTACATATAACCTGTATATATAAAATATATTTTTGTATAATTAAATATAAATATATATGTAATGAGCAATATGTTTTATTTTTTAAAATTTTATCAGACTTATTCCTATTTTTTATGCATGAATGTTTTGCCTATGTACCGTGTGTGCGTACTTGATGCCTGGAGGGATCAGAACATTGGATACACTGCATCTGGAGTTACGGATGGTTGTGAGCCACCATGTGGGTGCTGGGAGTCAAAGTGGGGTCCTCTGAACTGCTGAGCCAGTGCTCCACCCTTGCTGCCACCCCTTATTGTTTTATTTTCTATGTATTTGTCTACATTATGCTTTTATACTGCATGTGAGCCTGGTGCCTGTCGTGCGGCTAGGAGAGGGTGTCAGATTCCTGTGAGCCACCATGCGAGAGCTGGGAATTGAACCCGGGCTATATGAAAGAGAAGCCAGTGCTCTTAACTCCTGAGCCATCTCTCCAGCCTGATATATGTATTTTAAAAGAAGAATTGGAAAGCCGGGCAGCGGTGGCTCACGCCTTTAATCCCTGCACTCCGGGAGGCAGAGGCAGGCGGATCTCTGTGAGTTCGAGGCCAGCCTGGGCTAC